AAACAGTAATAGCTTAATGTTCCTTGAAGGTGAATTTGTCTTTAACCACTAGCTTAAATTAAAAAATTATAGGAAGGTTACGTGAGCCCACAGCTTCTTCAGTTAATAAAACATACCTATAGGAGAAGAAGATTCATCTTTTACCAAGTATACTAAATTATCCTTCATATGAGACAAGCCTTCGACGAAGTTTTTAAAAACAACACATAAGGATTGATCTGGACCTAGTTTGATTTTCTTGATCTTGTCGATAAAATCAGCAATGTTTTTAACATGATGTTCCACCTCTTCCAATTACACTGACGAAATGATATGTCCCTTTTGAGAACTTTGGAAGGCAATAATGATGGCACATTCTTGATTCGCTTGGAATAAGGTCTCTATGTCTCTATGTACTTCCTTGAGAATATCAAACGCTCGAATCATATATTCCACCTCTTCCGCAACTTTCTTGACTCAATTGTTTTTGGTCTTCCTAAACATCGAGTCTTGTAACAAACTTTCCACTTTAAATAGGTTCTGTTGTGCCTAAGATGACACTTGCATGCCCTTTGTCATCCGAGAATATAGTGGTTTCATTTAGTTTATATTCTAACAGTTCTTTAATAACTTGGACTTCTTTTCTATTCAGATTCGATTTAGTAGATTTAGCGACTTCCTGGAGGAGACACGACAACGTAATTTTCAGGGCACTAACGATTTGCTCTTTTGGAATTGTCCTGTATTCTAGAACGAAATTCTTTACTTCCTCTAGGATGTATTTTCGAGAAGTAGTTGTTCGTGACTTCTTCTCTTGTGTATGTAGTTTTTTCTGTAGTAAGTTTGTCCGCGAGATTCCAGAAGTCTTTATCCAATTTTTTGGTAAAATTCTTTTCCTTTTTCTCTAGTTGCTTTCTGGCGTCTCTGATACTTTCAGGTAAAAGCGAGATGCTGGATCAATCCTCCATTCTTCGAGATGTGTAGATTTGATCATGCTATGAACAACACGTCTCAATACCTGCATAAGAATGTCAGTTGGCTCAACAGCTTCTATTTTCTCACTCCGTCTTACCTGACTGGATGGTTCAAGGATGCTTATTTAACATTATAGTAAAATTATAAAAACTAAAAAAGAAGTACTTGCTGTGGATAAAGTATATAGGTGAACAAAAAGTCTAATTTCACAGAATGACTGCACCCGTAAGCGCTATGTAGGAATTATAAGTGATTAGTTGGCAAATGATTAACCACTAACGGCCATTCAGACCTCGATACGTATTGTCGAAGAGGTAGGTGGCCTACCGCCGAAATTTATAAAGTACATCGGGCGATTTTATGGTAATATCCGTGATGGGGAAGCGCCATTGTCGCGGTGTTATTCAATCGGTTTAGGCGTCATTGAGATCTACGAAATTGGACATCGTACGTGATATTTCATAAGTTTACTATCTTCCCATCCTAACGGTAAACCTCAATTTTAAAATAAATTGAGTTTGTTGAGAGGGCTGGTAATGCTGAAAAATGAGTCTCAGCCATTATCATCCGAAAAGCAAAAAGTTGGCCGCACCTCCGTAGATTACTGGCGCGGTTGTCGTGATAAGAATATATTACTCTAAGTATTCATCTATTTGAAAAATGCAAATTTATATAACGTGTAAAGGCGATGTTGGGACAAACTTGAAGGATTGATTTCTGTCTCCCAATTATTGGAAGAAATATTATTTCTTGTATTCAGATAATAATTTTGTTGGCAAGATTCTGAATAAAAATAGTGGAACCGTACGTGCTTCTAATCTTTCTACAGAACGAATCTAAAATAGAACCCTCTGTGAGGAGTTGTAAAAGAAAAATAAACCCCCTCACTTACATAAGACATGTGCATAAAAAGGAGAAGCAACATGTCAGTTTGATATCGAGTAATCCGCTTTGGGATTGCGCGGATAGTTATCGATCATAAAGTACCTCGATGTTTGGAGCTCGATGTAAGTTTTATTTAATATTTATTGGAGGGCCACCTAGTCGCTCCCATATCCCCTATTTACCGATCATGCATTATTAAAGTGAACGTATTTCAGATATAATGATGTGTCACTGATATCAAAAGAAAGTTGAGAGACAGCAGGGGACAGCTTCTTATTAGCTCACGTAATGCGATAGGGTTTAGAAACAGGTCGCAGAGCGTACGCTACAAAGATAATAGTATTTGGAATCACATCAACGGTTAAGTATTTGCCAATATCGGGAGTCAAAGGCAATGCTGATGGAGTTATTACTACAGAAAATTTCATGAAACTTCCATATTTTCTAAGGAAAACTATTTAAAAGTCTAGTGACTTAAAATATATTTGTAAAAACAACACAAAGGATATTGAATCATTATTTACTTATTTAATTTCATTAAATGGAGAATAATCGTAGGATATGGCAATATAATAAAAAACAAGTTATCACAAAACGGGTTTTAATATCTTATAGACTAGAAGCCAATATGTCTAGTGTATAGCGAAGAACTTTGTAAAGAAACATTACTAAACGTCTGAATCTGGTTCGGGCTGAGGCAATACAGTATTGAGGGTAATGAAGGTTTGCAAAAAAATGTAATAAAATTTATAGGAGCGTATTTAAAAAGATGAAGTTGATGATGGTCCTGGAAAAACGAAACGTTATATATAAAAATTGATTATGCCATTCTATAGAGGGTAAGAAGTTGTCACAAGAAAGTGTTATTGAAATGAAACAAAAACAGATTTCCAAAATATCAGTTTTTTTCTAATATTTCGAAAACTAATCATGTTAGCCTTGATTTTTTAGAAGCATAATGTTGGTCTCTGATTACGCAACTTTACCACTATTTAGCTAGTTCGTATCTCTTACCGTTTCCGAGATTCCTGTAGTGAGAAGCGAATTTGTAACAGTATATTTGTATATACTGCAAAATTATTGAGAGGAATTTAATATTTTCAAATTAAATTATAGGCCTATTTTTGCAGAACTAGGTCGCATGCTGATCATTAATTGAATCATTTAAATTAAATAGCTAAATATTTTTATTCCATATAAAAGGTAGTATTTATATAAATTTAATAATGGAATTCTATTGGTTCAAAAGTAATGTAAACATTTAGTCAAATATTAAATACCATGGAATATACATATTATATATTACAATAACAATATATTTTAAATATTTTTAAAAATGAGAAAATAATAAATATTTTTGTCAGCACCAGCCAATGGTTTGAGGTCTCCTGAAAATTTGGAAACTTCTGTGGGCCTGCTGTGAATTTGGAAGCGTTTTATTTTATTGGTGGGTGATTTACTGAAAATATGTTAATTTACAATCAATGGTATTTGATTCGTAATCGACTGTATTATAATGCAATTAGAAATTTTGGGTCGTATTTCATGTACTAGCCAAGTCCCGTTCCTGGTTACTAAACTGCAAGGTACCAAGGTCGACGTTCGATCTCATACCTTGATGAATATTTGGACAACTAACCTCTATGGATCCATCCTTGGATCGTAGTAGCCTGGAACGGGTGTGGATTTGTGTTGCGGCTCCTTGGTGCGAATTTCGCAATTTTTCAGTTTTTATTTTTCGAAACAGGGGTGATTTTTTCAAGCAGAGCATCGTCTGCTGCGGTTCTGGTGTCTGCAGGCGGTTAAAATATTTATACAATTGTGTATTTTTCATACTTTCCTTTCCCACCCAAGTAACTCCATACAAATAAAAAAAACTTATAATTAGTGCATAAATATAACTCATTGATGAATATATACTTTGTATCTGCAACAGCGAATCGACTCTCGACCGTCAGAGAAAAAGAATTGAGAGAATATCGAGTACCTCACTAACCCCAGCCCTTTCATTATATGCAGATAGGTCCTACGTCGATAGTTTATTCAAAAACTGGATTTAACGTCGCTTTTGTTTCACATCCCCCGCTAATCAAGAATGCACGTCGCGTGTCCCGTATGTTTTTAATGACCTAATTTGGAAATTTCAGAGCGTGCCTCACATCGATTTTTGCTTTTTAATATTTCAGATGACAATCCGAACAAAAATACTGGCGACGAAATTGGGTCGCTTTAATAAAAAGGGATATTATAAGGGACGGGAAAGGGCGCTGTACGAACCGCTGGTAAGCGATAATTCCACACGAGGGATATTACATTACGAACGAAAAAGATATGCTGGATGCTGATTCTAACAAATTCAAATGTTTTTCCGAAAAATCTTATTAAATGGAGTAAAACAACGTTCTAGGTATGGAAAAGATGTCTAACCCCACAGATAACCAATTAAACTCAGTTCATTCATCATTTTCTTAAATTTGCAAGCCACCACTGTCATTCTGTGAAGCTAGTTGTCAACTAATTTGTGAACACACTTTGTTCAAACGGCCAGTCAAGTAATGTGGGATCAGCACGCGATGTATGTGAATTGTTTGCCCAGATAAATAATTGTCTATTGTTTTAGTTAAAATACATGTTGCGTGACAACGTAAATGATATTAATTTATTTCGCTGCAATGTAATTCCATTTCAAAGGGTTAATTCCGAGAATGTACTGTGCCCGCTGCTACACTAGCCTTCAAAGGCGTAGTGCATGAGCTGTTTTCTGCAAAAAAATAAATCATAATTTATATTCATGTACTTGTAAGGGTTGGTAACATGACAAAAAAGACAAATGCATGCCGTACAACAAAGATATATTTGCAGGAAATAGAACAACTTTCCTCTTCATTTGTTGGCAACAAATGACAATTTGCACAGGCCTTTGTGCAATTTCTGATGGTCACATGTAAAGGATATTTCTGTTTCTAATCGAATCTTTTCTAGCAGAAACTCAACCTATTTTTTAAATATCTGTTCACATTTGTTTTTCGTTAGAAAACTGCAACTATGCGGTTTGGTGCCTATTATCGACACTTTTTTGGGCACTCACATTTCTATATTATCGATGTTTTGTTATAATTTCATTGTTTAATATCATTTTTTATCATTGCATTCGTGATATTATGTTTTACCACTTCGAGAAAGATTGGACAGCGGCGCAGTCGCTTCACAATGTCAATGACCCTTTTGGTGAAGGGACAATTGAATGTAAGACAGCGTATACATGGCCTAATCGCTTCCAATCCGGTGACACAAGCCTCAATGATGAACTAGGAAGAGGACGACTGGCAAATTTCGACGTTCAAGCTCTTCTGGCAGTCGTGGAAGAGGACGAAAGCTTGAAAACCAAAATGTTGGTCGAAGACTTCAATGCCAACCATTCCACGACTGTCCCTCGTCCCAAGAAGCTTGGAAAGGTGTGGAAATTGCCTGGAAGGATCCTCGATGAACCTTCCGACAATAACAAAGCCGACTGGGTCCGAATTTTCACGGAATTGCAGCAGAGAAACGAGCAAACACCGATTCAGAAGAATGTCACTGGAGATGAACCGTAGCTGGTTTTCAAACACGTCAAAAGAAAGAAGGTTTGTGTTTAGGCGGGTGAAACACCGAAAGGAATATTAAAAGACGTCCACTGTAAGAAGGGGTGTGGTGTGTTTGGTGAGACAGAAACGGAGAGAAAATCATCTCAACTGATGGGGACCGCCTAATCGGGTGTCTTGGCCGGTGGATTTCGATCTGTCGAGGTAAGCATCACGGACGCAGGCTGGAATTTGGATGGGTGACCTAAGGCAGGCTCAGGGACGTGGCTGTGGCAGCCTACCAGAGACCTGGGTCGCTCAACATTTTCCGCATGCGTGTGGTCCCCGATAAATGGTAATGAGAACAGAGCAAAGAAAATCTGTTCAACTCAAGACCATGCTATCATACATAAACTGTACGAGACTTTGCCACCAAGCCACCCGTGTAGTAAATAGGATGGCTTGAAGAAAAGTACTCGAGTAATGAAGGAGGGTGTACAAGAGGCCTAATAAGGCCTAAGTGCCGCGGTGGAAAACAATTCCACCATTCTCCGACATATGTACATACATCATCTCAACTGGCATCTGCTTCTGGTGAAGTGGCGACAGTTTGCGAGTGTTTTGTTTTTTTTTTAATTCTTAGTAAACCTTGTTTAGATGAACGTCAACAGTGGCGTATTCCGGATAAAAACGGCATGTTTTTTGTCGATTAAAACTATTTTAAAAGAAGCTAATTTTGATCAGCCCGTTACAGACATCATTTGCATTAACATACGCGAATAAAATTTGTTAAACAATAAAAATACTTTGCTGGAAATAACGAAATTACACGGAATTTAAAAGTATGCAAGTTTGTAGAAGAACAGCAGTCGACTTAATGCAAAACTACCAGTACACAGGCCCATTGTAGCAATACGATCGGTCTGGCCCATCCTTTCTCGCCGATAAACTCTCGCACAATCGCGGACGGGCACTTTATCAGGAGTTGATCGTCACTTTTTATTTCTCCGTTCCATTGGTTGGCAAATGTCGCATGCAGCATTTTTTATTGGATTCACATTTACACAATTCGCGTCTATTGTGATTTTTCAGCTTTGACGTATTCGAGTTTATGTTTTCACGACACACTGCCCACACCGACGTGATCTATGGAGCAATTTGAAAAATTTACAACGGTTCGCTTAAAACCAAGGACGAACCTCAGGGAAATGGCGTCGGTTGCTTGATATACATATCTTAGATTTTAAATATGTCACGAAATGACATTTATTATTTACGCAAAAACAACACGTTTTGATTTCAATTAGCGTTATATTCAGTTACTGCAATATTTCAGCAAAAGTAAATGCGTTAGGTATAAAAAAATGTTTGCTAGACAAAGGAAAACTTCGAAAAGTCGCAGCAATTTTACGGATTTCGATAACGCCAATACCATAATATGTGCGAAATATAAAGGAAATTGGAAATATAATTTTAAAAACTAGTTTTAAAGTAGGTAGGTCTCTAGTGTATATCGACTTGTAAATCTGTACACTCCAGCCACGTAAATTATACGATATATGACAGTAAATCAAGGAATAATAGACGTTTATGTTCCCCGCAGTGGCCAGTTCTTTTTTAGTCTATATTTACAATCGTAAATCTGATATATTGGCGTCCTAGTGCTCAGGAATTCATTTAGTGCAAGATAATAACGTTTATTAAGTTTTTTACCGGTATTAAAGTAATTTTAGTTTCATTATACTATATATCAGTTGCTGAGAATACCATTAGGAGTACTATGAATAAAATTGTCTTTAAAGGGAAACACATAGAATTAGAAATAGATGCTGCGTAATTGTAATGACATATTTTAAATAAATTCCTAATAAAGTAAGTTATATAAATATGAAAGGAGCTAAATCATACACAGCGCAGCGCCTAAAGTATAAAATAAATTCAGTAAAAACGAAACAAATTTTTTTTTAGGAAAAATCCTCGAACAGGTCGATTTTTAATTTAAAAAATACATATTTTAGCAAAAAGGCGATTTTCAACCGTTATTTGTTTTCGAGTAATGACGTCATCAACATTTTTTTTAAATAACAACCCCATTTTCCCCAAAAAAATTTGTTTCGATTTTACTTAATTTATTCCATACTTTAGGCGTGTACTGTATGTAAAAAAAATCAATTTTTACTCAAAATCAGTACAATTTTTCGTTAAAACAAGTCCACGTCGAATTGTGAATAACATTTTTGTTTAGCCTAATTATTTGTTAGTTAAATAAATCTTATGTCCACACCGGATTGAGTGAAATTTTCTCTCTATTAGTATGAGTACAACTGAGTGAAACTATTGCATCAGAAATGAGTGAGTTTTACTCAAATTCGAGTTACTGCTAACAAACAATTGAGCGACTTTTTAACCCAATGTTATTTAAGACACTGTCGTGAAAAGACAACTGAAAACAGAATTTTTGGTCTGGTATTTCATAAATTTACAATTATATGAAAATATACCATATTAATTATAACAAGCTCTGGCAGCAAATATGGCAGGGCACGAAAATATTATTATTAAACAATTAGCCTAAATGCCAAAATGCCAAAATTAACCATAAATGCAAGTCGACCCTGTGCATCTTGTGCACATGCATGAAGAACTTCTCTAATTGGCTGACGTTCCAGTGACTTCCACAATCAAGCAAATCCGATGGTAGGTCAGTAGTCCGGATGTCTTGTGGTCTTTAGTATGCAATGCAATGTACTATATAAAAGATAGAACACAAATAAAACAAAAAATGCCTTATTTGGCAGATATTTGGCCAAGGAACCTTATTCAATATTTATCTATAATATATACCATTTATATTTTAAAAAAATGAAAACATGATGAATGCTATTGTATTTTATTAATTTGTTAATAGCACATATTTTTTTATAATCTAGTCTAGCTTATATCCCAACCTATGAAGATACGCTTGAGTGAAATAGTTACCTACCTATTGTTTACGACAACCTACACCACACACAATATCTGGGAAACAATACGCCCAAGTTTCAAACAACACGCTGTAAAATCACACCTCGCAAAGCTACCTTTAGGGTATGTGCCGCATAAACTAATGATGTCGAAATAATTCACCGCCTTGTTTTCCACATTGAGGTGGGTTAAGTAGTGGATAACAGAGGCCGTGGCGAACCGAAAAGCTTTTAATTTACAAATATATTACCAGGACCACCTCTAATGTTTCACGGATGCCGCGGTAATGGTTCTATTAGAAAGAAGTGCTACGTAACTACCTTTTATCCGTAATATGTTTACTACTTTTACACTGAGATTTGCAAAAATTTGCCGGCGCAATCGTGCGCTTTAATTTATTTAAATTTGCAAGGAAGAACACTCAGGTCATATCACAAATACCCAGTCAGTTCGAAAATACCAATTTAGTGCAGATGTCAAAATTTTTCTAGAGTGAAACATGCAAAGTACAGTTATTGATAGTAATTTTCTGAGATTCCTAAAACAATGCAATTCAGTCCCGTGCTGAGAATCTAATCCTGTTAAAATCGATCCGGAAGTATAATCTTTTTCCCTCCGAATATATTCTATTTACAATTGCCGTAATTGTAAACTAATTCTTGATGCCTTCAAAGTGTGATATCTACCGAATTTGCTGCGCAGTCCATCGGTTTACGAATTGCGCAAATTTCATAATTTCTTTTACGAGAGATAATTTTATTAAAATCGGGAAACAGACGCACTTCATAAAGCGAAGCCTGGCCGGTAAATCGATAAAGGTTCAGGATGGCGCAGAAGACCGAGAATAAAACGAAAAATAAATAAAAAACGAAGAAAACACGTAAACCCCACTCCTTTATGTGTCAAAACCGCAAACGTGGATGCTGTTCCGGAAAGTTCATCATTTACTTCTCGTTTTTTTTTCTACCGGACGATTGGTGCTTCTATAAAATGTTGTGAGCATTCAAACGTACACTCTACACGCTTTCAGTGCCCAATCAACGTCAAAAACAATAGGCGCCTATCTGAACTGTAAGGAACTGGAATCGAGCGTAGAGGAATCACTTTATAATAATCAAATTTTAGATACGACGGAAAAGCTTACACTTGAAGAAATTGCAATTACATCTAAAATTGTAACTACTCAAGCGTTGATTAATACTGTTATAACTAAGAGGATATTGAGACACGTCCTAACTTGTTTGTTACTTCTGCGTATGTCAAGAATAGTATTTTATTTCTGATTTTAGTAGTACCTGCCCTCTTCTTTTTTTGAAGAATTAAAAGCAGATGTACTCAATAGAAAAAGAGGATGTCAGTCAAAATTAAGATATCCATATACAAATTAATAAAAAAGTAGTTAAACATAACATAAGTAAATCATAAAATGCTTAAAAAGACACAAGCAAATTCTTTATCAATAATATGATACGTTTTTAAACAATTTACAGTTATTTCATTCAAGTTCAATCTGAAGAAACATGTTTATCAAAGAAAAAACATGTTTTGAAACTCAACTTTTTAATAAAAATAATACCTAGTATTTATTATGTTTCACTTACGGTTGATTATTTTTACAATTCTACCCATTTATGGGAATATTTGAATTTAAACAGACTGATTACAAACTTGTCGAGACAAGTTCAAAATTGCAATTGCGTCTACATTTCGGTTATCTCGTGAGAATTGTGTTAAGTGCAGTGAATAGAATAAGATCCAGTATTTCTGGTGCTAATAAGGATTTGAATAAATAAATAAATTATTGGAATATCACAAAGTTGTGTACAAATACATACCGCACAGTTTGGGCTCTACTTTAGTTATTATTAGATGTAATACACCAATATGACACACATAGTTTAGCAAGCCTAAAGCAAGCTAAAAGTTATTCAATGTTATCAATAAAGATTTCTTTAGGCAGCAAATATTCTAGGACATTGCTCAACTAATAGTGTTATTATTTTAACACAATTGGGCATGTACTTGTTTTAACATAACAAAAAATTGTGTTTATTTTGAGGGAAAATTTA